GTAGTAGTAGTAGTAGTAGTAGTAGTAGTAGTAGTAGTAGTAGTAGTCGTAGTCGTAGTCGTAGTCGTAGTCGTAGTTAGTAGTAGTCGTAGTTAGTAGTTAGTAGGTAGTAGGTAGTTATTAGTGGTTAGTGGTTAGTGGTTAGTGGTTAGTGGTTAGTAGTTAGTAGTTAGTAGTTAGTAGGTAGTAGTAGTAGTAGTAGTAGTAGGAGTAGGAGTAGGAGTAGGAGCAGCAGCAGCAGCAGGAGGAGTAGTAGTAGTAGTGCCTCACACATTGATGAACAAGTAATGCTGGGTGTATCCAAAAGACATGTATCTTCCCAACAAATACACTCCACATGGCCGCACAAAGTGGTACTGTGTATATACACTTGCTGATGTGTAAACTGTTCTGCATGAACATGTTTATTTTTTTAATACAGTAAATAGAACGAGCATTCAAATTGTGTTCAAGACATGTTTGCGTAGGTTTTTGCTTTTCGAAAAATTCACCCACATACCGCACAAACTTTCTGTTAACATACTTTGCAATGTTAATTCAAATATTGCCTTTAGAGCTATTTTCAAGCAACGTTTCTTTAAACCATGTATTAAACTCAATTGAAATATTGGTTTGCAATAATCAAATCAAGCAATATATTTTGGTACATAACAATCAAACTATTGATGCTCAAGTACAATCTGATTGAACATCATTCAAAAAATGCAAACTATTGATGTGTAATGTATTGTTATATATAGTATAACTAATCAACCTAGTGACCTAGTGCGTGTCATTTTCTTCAAATTGATAGTCCTTCAAAAACATGATTTCATATTGATATTGATTTGCAATTGACACCTGTTTAAAATGCTTTGGGCGGTGTTTGCACATAAATACATATACAGTAGAATATGTACGTATATATATAGAACCTCGTGGTTGGTAAGCGGGTTCGAATCATAATCCCTTGAACATCTGATGACAATCAGTGAACATATCGTTCCTTAATGATGTCAATTAAACACCCTTCAAAATCCGTTTCAAACACACAAGCTTTGTCAAATCCCGTTTTTAAAACTATTGATGTTCAATTTGCGTCCAAGTAAAGACTCCTTGATTACCACATAGAATCGCTTCGTCTTTATCATCCATCGTTCGAATCTATATATATATAAATTGCAGTTCTATAGAGAACATGATTGAACAAGATCATTCACATGTTTGATCTACCACGTCGTGTTTTTTTGGCAGTCATGTCGTTAATCCAAAAGCAATATGAACACACAATAACACACAGCAAAACTACTAGCAAATGTTCAAAAGGATGAACAGGCAAGTTTCTTCGGGATCGCGTAGGAGGTAGTTTCTGGGAGGTAGTTTCTTAGCTACTCCAGACTCCAGGTCCTATTCTTGCAGAAACAACCTAGAAGACCTTAGAAAGCTTTCATGATTCCCCTTTTATAGGTTGCTTTCCCATTCTGCTCGTAAAGGCCCCTGGATGCTTGGCGGCCAGATTAAATAGATCGGATGAGCACGATCGCGTTCTTCGCGATCGCGTTTCTTTGGAAAAACCAGCAACTGATGCCAAAAAAGCTTTTGGTTAACAACCTGGAAAAGGAAAGCAACCGATTTTGATGGTCCTCCAATTTTTCTCCTGTTTTGATTTGAAGATGCGTAAGAGTGCACAGCCCTTGAGGTGCACGCTTCATGCCTCGAGAGGTAGTCTGAAAGTGGGCAGAGCAACGTAGAAGAAAACAACCTAAAATTATATGAACCGTGATTAGCTATGAAACATGGGGGATGGCTCCTTTGAAAAGTATTGAACACAAGTTTGTTCAGTCTTTCCCTTTGTTCGCTCCTGGATTTGCTAGCATGTTTGTAATGTTTGGTTATTTTCTTGTAATTTGAATTACAGTAATGTTTGTCATCTGTTCTTTCATTATTCCATTCACACCTTTTCTTTCTTGTCTGTGGTTCTTGTTTTTACTGGTAATGACATAGATTTATGAACATTTAATGTCAGCAAAAACATAATGAATGAGTTGTTTTTCGTTTAGTCAACCTATGTTCACCTGACAAATGAAACGGTGGCAACCTCAAGATAAGAAATAATATGAAGACAAATGCAGAAAGAAGCTTTAATATCCATCACTAAATTCCACACATGTACATACATAGATATACACAGGATAAGGTGAATTTTGCACCGTGTGGATATGATCACTACATATACACATTTGTTAATAGTTGTTATGCACCTGCCCCTATTCTCAGCCAATTAGTGTCGACAAAACGTATGTAAAAACTTATGTCAACAATTGTGTGAAAACACTGTAAATACCCATGACATCTTATCTAGGTTAGTCTTGGAGGGAGGATGATATATATATATATATACACTATATTATATATATACACAGTTTGCACACGTCCTGAAAGCTGTTAGCCGGTAGATCTGCTAGATCTCAGTTCTGCAGCAAGTGCTTCTTGTACCAAAGTTTTGGAAAAGCCAATCATTGTTATCTATCATAAGATATGTGTAATGAATTTAGGACTTGACATGGTTCCTGGAGCATTTTAAACAGTGCAACTGGCAACTGCCTTGACCACAGTGCGTAAGGAGCGCTTGGCCCAGCTTGGCTTTTGGCGGCTGCTGGAAGCTCCCATGAAGGCGGCAACAGACTTAGACGTACGCAAACTGAACACCCGCTTCGCATCATCATCACACTGCACCAACTTAAAAACACAGGTCATACATCGGAAGCAGCTACAGTTGCAGCTACCAAGTGAGGAAGACTTGAAGCAAAGTTCAATTACCAGCTCTGCTCAGCTGCCAAGTTGCCATTCCCAATGGCAGCATTCTCATGGGTATCTGCGGGCCGTCATTGAAGCTGGCAGCCTAGAAGGGGCAAGGATTCTTGTGATCCATGCCACAGCTGAATGATGTAAGGTATTTCACCTGTCCAAAAAGGAGTCCGGCTACGTAGTTCTTGCCGCCATGTTCCACTGCACTCGAGAAAAGTTCGCCTTGACCGAGTTAGGGCAAAGCCTCACTCTGGGAAGTTCCCTCGGTGCTGATGGTAAAGCCTGAAAGTTCTGCGAGGGTCTCACACGTTTTCTCCGTGGTACGCGGACCGAAAGGGAAGCGATGAGAAGCGACAAACGATTCGGCAGACGTGAAGGAGAACAGTTCGGCACAGCTGCCTAGAAAGCCATTGAAAATCCAATGACAAAAGACCAGGACCAGGTGTGATTGCCTGACAGTACCACCAGCTGGAACCTGGGCTTCGGACAATCGCCATACGTCCTCCAGCAGGATTGAACTCTTGTCTTGCTTTCAATCTAACCTTGCTTTGCATGGATTGCTAAACATGGCTGAAAAACTGCTTGCGAAGAAAACCAGCTGATACGAATGGAAGGAAACTTTCCCCCAAAAGTTTGCCGTGAAAGTTCACCACTCAAGTTGGAGGCAACCCCACTAAGACCCTAAGAATGGCATCAACAAACATAGGCTGTCAGAGTGGTGTCCCGCCTGCTGGCAGCTTGCCAAAGAATCGCACAGTATTTGGGACGCAGTCACACGGGTGTCTTTTTTAGTAGGTTAGAGACCGAGTAGGTATGTCTTGGTCAGACCAGTAGGCCTTCCTTTGCAATTACACGTTTTGGGGGTAAGCGGTAAGCTCTGATAAAGTCTGTTGGCTTTGTTAGCGATGATATATGTAAGCGGTGCAGATGCTCCAACTTCAGACTGGCTCGGCTTGAGATGTCGTTGTGAACACTCACCCCATGAATACAAAGTCATGACTCACAGTCACATGACTCGCAAAAAGCCAAATGCAACAAACAACGCACTTGCCGCAGCTCTTCGGAATCCCAATGGTCTTCAAAAGCTGCAACATGCTTCAACGATCTTGGCACCCCACGCTGATTTGCTCCTTGCACCCTGGCCTTACTCCAATGGCACCCATCACTCACTGCTGCTACATGGCACTACCCAGGCACCCAGGCACTTGTTCACATGTGTTCTTGGCTTTTTATTGCACTCTTGGGCCCCCCCACGCAGCACACGACGCGCCGCTCGTGCGTTTCGGGCTCGGGACCTGCGCGTTCTTTTCACGCGGTGCTCAGTGGATGTCAGGTCTTTGCATTGACAAGTCAATCAAATCAGGTCCACAATCCGGTCATTCTGCCCACTTCTAAGTCTCTGTAAATATCTGTAAATACTGGTAATTATGTGGATCTGTATGTACCTCCAGAGCTGGAGTGGTGCCGAAGCGCCTGTCCAAGCTGTGGAAACTCCTGTGAATTGCAAGGTGATGTGATCTCTGACCATTTGTGATGCGGTGTGGTGCGGTCTGTGGTGATTTGTGTGGCGTGATGGATTGTAGTGAGGACTGAGGTGTTACTGTATTGTTGGTCATGTGATTTATGGTGCTTGGAGACGTGGGGAAGGGTATGGAATGTGAAGCTGATGTGATGTGTGGTGATTAGTGACGTGGCGAAGTGCACGCATTGCGGAGAAATGAGTTCTCCAGAAACTCTACTGTCCTGTATGTTTCTCTTACAAAATTATGCGTCGTACATCTCTCCTCATTGTGTAGTCTAGACTCTAGACTAGACATCATGTGGTTGTAGGTTGGAGGCCATCGCTAGTAGGTTGGAGGCCATGGCTTGTATAGGCTTTATCTTTCTTTCTGCTCTGCATGAAACAGTGCGCGCGGAAGCAACAAATCCCCGCGGCAGCCGTTAGGCTCTCAAGCGCATTGACTTGACTCTGTGAAAGCCAGCTGCGCTCCCTTACTTTCAAAGACGTACAATCAATACACATTTATCACATGTCCTTTTCATGTCCTGTTCGCACGCAAAACTGTCATGTCTGTAATTGTCTGTACTATAGTATCTCAATCAAAAGCCACCAAAAGCCTCTGAACAAAATTCCTTTGATGATCCAAGCATGACCGTTCCAAGTTGCAAGCACCAACGCCTAATTACAGGCATGTCTGGCCAAAAAACGACAAACAGTCTTTACAAAAAGATTCGCCCCGAAACTGAAACCCGCGCACCACGAAGCGCCCACACGCCCACCCCGGTCCAACGCGAGACATGAAACGGACGGTCCGGCCTCCAGCAGCACCGACTCGCTCGACGCTTCACAGCCGTGCAGCTCTGCACGGTAGTGGTCCTTGCCTGGGCGACGTGACTGGCTGCCGCAGAGCGTGTGGCTCGGTAGTGGCACAAGATGCGACAGGGACACGAGCATGGGTAGTGTTACGGTTTGCACACCAGCCCGGATGGAAAGCGAAACAGAATGAAACAGATATAAACCAGGATAAGACATATTCCACGTGAACTGCTAGGCTTGAAAGGGCAACGGAAGAACGTGATGAAGAAGAATCAGCTGAAAGTTCCACTACAGCAGGCAAACTAGGCAAAACAACCTCTTGCCTTTGCTAGGCCCTATCCTTTGCACACACCCTCCTAAACCAAGTTTGGGTGAGACAACCTTCAATGGATTATTGGATTAAGGGAACCATGGCTGTAAACCCCAAAACTATGGGTTTCCTGATTCCTGCATATTCCTGCATGGTCTATAGCTTTTCCCTTCAACCAATTCTACAACACAACTTGGCATCACAAATGTACACGCTTCGTTGTTCAGGCAACTGCTCTGGTGGATATATAACAAGAACCTCAAGTTTGTCTCAGAGCAGTGCAGAATGGGCGTTTGCAGGCGAAGCATGTCGTGGGCAAGAAATCCTGCGCGAAGTCTTTCAGTCCGCGTGTCCTGTCCGTCTTTCAGTCCGCATTACTGGACGATGACTGCAGACGTCTGCATGATTCATGAAACGGTATGACCATAAGAACGCTGATGGACCACAAATAGCAGAACAATCAGGCCCCGTTCCAAAAAGAGTTCGCCTCTCAATCTGGCTCTTAAAATCACAAAATCAGGGCCTGTTGACCACATGACGGCACTGAACAAACTGCCCCGACATCGCTGAAGGCAGCCATTCCTGAACAACTACAGGTAATGCCGACGAGCAAACGAAGAAGTAAAACCTTTCCTATTATTGGAGAACTGTCCTCAATCACTATCAGGGCTGTCTGCTAAGTGTAAGATGACTTAGTATTCGAGCTGTCCCTTTGTGGTTCCTACTTAAAGCCTCAGTTCTGCATGCCCATTCAAGTTCTCCCCAGGAGCAAATGCTCGAAGTCTTAAAGGCAAATAAAATGCATTTTTGCATTGCTTTCAAAGGTTCTATCACCTTTGTCTGATGTTCTGTGTTTGAGCCCAAAGGGCGCACTGATTCACCGGCATCCACAGCCCAAATCAAGTGGTTTTCACGACACCTGCCGCACCGCAGTGACATGTTCCGTCTGCGCGTGGGGGTCTTACCAGCGTTCTCCCGTGTTTTTTTCCTCGGCAAAAAAACGGCCGCGGCCACGTCAACCGGCCACCGCAAGGGGGGCGAATTCCGAGGAAACTGGAAAGGTTTCCATATCAGGTGGTGGAGGATTTCATGATGAGTAATACATGCCAAACAAAGCAGAACAATGCCTCGTAGTGGTTGTGATTGCCTCCGAAGGAAAAAGCATCAAGGTCATGCAGTGGCGCAGCCTCTGCTGTTTCACAGCCTTTGAGCCTTTGCGCAAAAGATCATTTTGTACATTCATCGCAATCTGGTCCAGCAGCTGACGGAAAAAGACTGCATGCTGCATGCAGGTCAATACGGCTGAACTCTGCCTTTTGCAGCTCGATTACTGTGAATCGCTCCAACAAACTCATTGTGCCAGAATGGACCAGAAAACCCTTGAATCTCACTTCAGACGCAGCCGTGCCTAACTGGCCGACGGTGCAGCCAGTTAGGCCCTGCGCTGCACTGGTCGGCTTTGGGCCTGGCCGGAACCGCCACCGCTGAGCCGGGGAACACTGGGAAGGCGGTGCCCGGCATCCAACGGTTGATGCACGAAATGCGGATACACCAATGGGCTGTAGATGGCTGTTTTGGGATGATGAATACACTCAGAGCCGCCCTGATCCCTCCGAGCTGAGATCTTGAATAGGCATGACATCGGCTGCCGGTTTCTCCTCCGATGTCTCGCGAAACAACTTGTGGCTGTGGTAGTCACATCTACTGTAGTTCAGGCTGTGGCAGAGGCCACAGAGCTTCTGTGAAACATGGGGAAGGACCTGAAACTGTGTGGTCCGGAGAAGCAAGGACGCGTCCACACAAGGCTTTCACTCCTGGATGAATCGTGGTAGGGGTTTGGTGAGTCTGTCCCAGTGTAGCTTTGCATCAATACTAATTTTAGCCCAGCAGCCTCACCCTTCAAGACAGTTCCAGAATACTTCAAGGATGCGTGCGGTTTGTGTCACAAGGTTCAGGTTCAGCTTTGTGTGGACAATTCATCACGAGCTCCCTTTCAGCAATGAGTGCTGAACGCCGCGAGTAGCAGTATACTTTTTGGCCGCCACAGGCAGAGTAGCTACCCACTGCACAGGCGTTGGGATTCTGAACAGCATTTACCAAGTGCCATCAATGACTCGCAGCAAATGGAGCCGCAAAGGTGCAAGGTGAAGCCCAGTTTCGACTGGCTCCAAGACTATTCACTATCAACACCAGAGCATATTGAAAAAATGCTCTGAGATCTAGATTCAATCCCATTGGAATCGCAAGAGTCTATACTCTATAGATACTATACTGTAAACCCAATCTCCGACTCTACGACCGGTTCAGAGACAGTCACTCAAGTAGAACCAAGTAAGAGATGTTCTTCCGCAAATGGGTGGACCAATTGTCACAGCTCAGAAATCCGGTCAAGAGCCCTAATCACTGCTGGATCGTGCCTGACTCGTGCCCGCGAGGTCGATTCAACGCGCGTCAACAGGGACGTGTCCATGCAGTTGTAGTATGTTGTATAGTATGTTTGAGGAGGAACGGTCCTCTAGCAGCATGGTCAACCAAATTGACCAAACGCGACATGACACGAATCCTCCATGGCACCGTTTCTGCCCGGACTCCCGGATCGGACCCGGACCGTTCTCGAACGGGATCGACCGGCGGGTGAACGTTCACCCCTCGCTGCGACGTCGGGGCCTCGCTCCGAGGCGATGAAATGTAAAAGACCTGGCGACCGAGAGACGACGTCGCGGAAGCGACCGGTCGGCTTGTGTCCGGCCGGCTGAAGGCGGGCGAGGGTGCAGGGTAGGCCCTTCAAAGCGGCATGGTGGGCCCAAGGAGGAGCAAAGGTGGCAACCTGTCTAGCGGGAAAAACCATGCGGGAAGCATCCAAAGATATTATGTCAATTCAATGTTCTATGAATGTTCTAGCTCTTTTGGTCTGTGACTTCCAGAGAATCGGTCTCCAACATGGTCAGAGAATATGGACCGAAGCCTGCAATCCCCCCAGTTCACCCATGTATGACCTGTATATAGGTCATATATGGTCATGTATAATATAATTGTATGATATCCATGGATTAATTCCGCAACACGATGAAAAACACCTTGAATTTCAAGAAGTTGGGCCAATCCTGCTGCAAAACCTTCTTTGTTTGGTCTCCGGCGCTCCTACCAGGTGCACCGAAAGTCGCCGACCCAAACTCTGTGGATCGGCTCCCAACCTGCGGAGAGTTCTGGCAGGACCTGGTGTGGAGCGACCACACGGAGATGGGAGAGACGGGTGGAGAAGAAAAAACCTAAGGCCTAAGGAGAGACACGCGTACAGCGTACGGCGTACACATACAGTATCATAGAGTCACTTTTTCCGCATTTGCTGGCATGGAAGCGTTTCTCACGCACCCCTAGGTTGATTCGGTTCAATTTGGACCTGTGTTATGCGTGTTCACCAAGGTATGATTGTCTCGAGTCTGCAACAACGCCCAAGCCTCTTGCCTAATGCCATTATCAGCTAGGTGTTTCATGATGGTTCATGATGCTTCAAATGGTCTGCCTGTTCAATGACAGCTGATGATGAACACAATGGCCGGAGCTCATGTTCAATGGCTCATCCAAGGTGCTCATCCTGCTTGGTGCCAAGCTCATCCTGCTCCCAATCCTTCGGGCAGAATCCGTGTCCCAACTCCCCGCGACGCTACAAACCAAGTTTGTTCACGTTCATGTTGGTTGGAGCGGGCGTGAATCGCTCTCATATGGACTGAACTTCCTACCATGTGCCTATGTCGGCTAATGTCGGCTAAGCTATGTATGTCCCTGAATGTGCGTGCATGCAGTCCAAAAACATCCACAAAAAAAGACACAAACAACAAGAGAAACAGCGAAACGTGTGACACAGCCGCAAAACGCCGCAACGCCCAAAAAAGAATAACGCGAATTCCACCGGGCGCGAGGTCTGGCGTTCCTGAATGTTCCTGGCGCTCCAGTCCTGGTGCTCCAGTTCCAAGAGATCTGTCTCCTGAAAAATCTCACGCCATTGCCCCAACCTCGGTTCGTCACGGACGGCTGATGTTCTGTGCACATGTCGGTTCTTGTCTGCTGTGGTCGGTGTGCCAACAGCTGGGGGTTGATTGAAGTAGAAGCTGCACAGAACCCAGCATCCAGCATCTGTGAATTCTAGCAACATAGATCAACAGTGAGCTTTTCTCTCTGATGCATTCTGATCTCGAGGATGACGATCCTTTCAAAATCGTTCAGCTGAAAAAAGGCATCCTACTAAATAGCAACACCCAGTAGCTGTTTGGCAAGGACATCTGCTCGTGCTACATGTTGATCTCGCTGCTTTGTCAGCTCACAAATAGCACGCATCCAACTTGCCTCCGGATATGTTTTCTTTTGGCAGCACAACCCAATGCGATGCGCAAAGATATAATATGTTGACAAACTTAGAACTGGGTATCAACATGTTGTGTGTCCACTGCCACTGAACCTCAATTTGCTTACAGAGTTGACAACCGCATCATGTGACTCAGTTGCCCCACAAGTGCAAGCTGTTACGAAAGGTGCAACATGGTCTAACAGTCTAACATGGTGCAACCGACATGCTCAAAACTGCTCAAGTTGGTTCGTGAAGCCAATTCCGCAACAATGTGGGCATTCGCTCTTCATGCTCATTGTATCATCATGACAAAGCTATTCACAGCATTCCGCAGCCTTGTCTTTCTTGTAGGTGGACTTCCACTCCTTCACTTCGTCACCTCTGACGCGTTCGTCAAGCACAGGAATAGTATCGAGATGCATCGAGACCCTCTTGAGATGCATCACACAAATGAGGGTAGTTGAGAGGATGAAATTCCTTTGCACTCGTCAAGGTAACTAACCGTCAACCGTAGGTTTCAACCAAACGCTTCGTAGAGAGGAAAAGGCCAGGCCGGCAAAAAGAGAACAACTGCAGAACGTGGTAGACAGAGCCTGACAAAGCATGACATATCACATCTCACGACGTATCACATCATATCAGAATGGAAGTTTTGTTTCAACATGAACTTCCAGTTGAGGCCGAAAAACAAAACTCCTCAACAAACCCTCCAACTTGACTGGTTCTCTCAACCTAATTGGGCCCATTGGACTGCCGCCGATCTGGTGGCGGCACTGTATACGCCGTGCGGGGCGGACGCCGAGCCACGCAGTCCCGCAATCTGCCGGTGCTCGTCTTTGGCGCCGGAGCTCGGCGCGGACAGCCACTCGCGGAGCTGCGCCAACTCTTCCTGCGCGTCGCGGCCCCGAACGCGGACCTCGGACCTCGGACTGACGAAGTGTGTGAAGCGGTGTGTCACGCGAAGGACCGTTGTTGTGGCGGTGTGGTTCAAATCGGATCTGTGTTGGTCTTGGTCACCAATAGGTGTCCAGAAATTATTGAATTCCTTGGCAGAATTCTTTCGGTCGAAGGGGGCAAAACACCATGGGCATCCATGGGCAAATTTCAACTTGGGGAGACCCCCCAAATCAGACATGTTTCATGGGTTGTTGAGTCAACCCTGCATTTTGATGGCACCCGCAGAAGATGATGGACACCTCCAGCCGTTCGGCTCTCCTGCTCTGCTTGGGCCAGTTGGGAGACTTCGGCCTCTCGGTTGCTGAG